CTTGGCATATCAAGAAAGTGTTTTAGTTAGGGTTGTTATTGTGCTGCTTTTGAGCTCATCCTTTCAGTCCAATGTAGCTTTCGTTAACAGTAAGTAGTGGACTACATGGCTGGTCTACAACAGTTTGCTATGCTTCCAACTCTTGGTATTGATTTCGAGACACTCGATTTACTCGGTATTCGAAATGATGTTGAATGGTATCTTGAAGCATTGGGCCTATCGAAGTTTGTGACTATCTCTCACCATATCTATGGGAAGCTTGCAAGAGAATTCCTCGCCACAGTAACATTGTCTTACCCCAAGACAAAGACGACCATAGCAAATGAGGAAATTCTAGCTTTTACGGTTAAGGAGAAATCGTATACTTTGAGTATTGAAGAACTTTGTGATATTTTGGGACTTGAGTGTCTTGAGACGATTAAGTTCAGTGGTAGTGAAGCCCATTATGATGAGTGGTTGAAGATTGCAAGTGATAGACTAAAACATGGAGCTTCTAAAGCATCGAAGATTATACACCCGGCGATTCGTTATGTCTACTATCTACTTTCTCAGCTCATTTTCAGTAGGCACGAGTATGGAGTGGTGAAACAAGAAGAGTTTTACATGCTAATATCACCGTTTGTGGAGAACCCCGAGAAAGTGAACCTTGCCTCGCTTTTAGCTAGAAGAATGGTACAAATCAAGCATGATGCCGCTAAGGAGAAGATACCAAAGGGAGCATCGAGTGATTTTGGTGGAACAATCACGGCCATACTACATGCGTGTGGTGTTGATTTTCAACTAGAAGTCCCTTTGATGGTTGAAAGCAAGCTTGATCTCCATGCCCTTCAACGGAAGCACTTTCTTTGTGGATGGTACGAGCAATCTACAAACTGTGGGTACCTTTTCAAACCACCTTACGAAGAAGAGAACAAGTGTGTTCTACTCCCACATGTGGAAATCCCAGCCTTGAGTGAGGGTAACACTTACTTTCACCCTACTCGTTCCACATGGTTTTATCGTTGTCCCGGATGCCCTCTTGTTGGAGTTTCGCTCTACTATCAATCGAAAGCTAGGATGGCACGAAAGGAGAGGTCTAGAGGACCACAAGGAGGAGGTATTTTCCAGCCWTCCACMTCTCACMCGCCACCTCACGAGTCCCAATTTCCAGCCGCTACAAACACCGGTTTTGATGAATGRCTTCGCACTAGYTTTGAGGAAGAAAAGGAGAAGAGAGTAGCTCTTGAAGCTAAGGTTTCTAAGCAAGGAAAGATGATTTCTAAGCTTGTAAAAGCAGTCAAGAAATCAGTCCCACATCTCTTTAGGCGATCCTCTAGAAGCACAACCGCCACAATGAGTAGCGACGATTTTGGTAGTCTTTCGCTCATCTCTACGTTTGAGCATGATGAGGATGTCAATGATGATGTTTCTAGCCATCATAACACACGGGATAATGAAGAGCAAGCCAATGGCCAGTATGGACATCACTCACTAGTCCAGGCAACCGCTTCAGACGAGACGGAAATCGTCTATTACGAGTCCGATGAAGATCACTTTCACGCGATAGTTCCAGATTCTCCAGAGTCTATGTCATCCGTCTTTT